TGTAGATACAGTATAGGTGCTATAGAGAAAACATCTAAAGGAATAACATACATCAAATCAAAAGTGACAGAAAACAATCATTATGTTCTTCTCTATGATTAAAAAAAGACTGCAAAAAGATTGTGTAGGCTATTTATTGTTTTCATGAAAAGCATCCCTCCTCATTTTAAGGTGTTGAAGCAGGTGACACCCTCAAGCTGTCAAGTGCTGCATGAATTCTGAAGTGCAACCTGGATTCCATAGAGTATTCCTTGTAGTTGTTTCTGCAAAACAGACAACTTATTTTAAGAAAAGTATGTTTGGACTAGATTGTTTCTACTTCATATGTTTGTAGGTTAACAGTCTTTATTCCTTCAACAGGAAACAGAGATTGACACACAAATGAGTTATGAGACATTTAAAGCTACATCCACAAGTTGAGCAAAGAAGACTTAGACCAGTATTAAAATTAAATGTCCTGATAAACTGAACCAGTGTCTTAGCATCTCTTGAACTTATTTTGATCTTTTTAACAGCCCTCCCACTTACTGAAATTTGCTGTGAAAAGACAAGCCAAAATACTACAGAACAGGGTGTTAGTAGGAAATGTATATTCAAACTCAGAATACAATTCAGCCAGAGTAATAAACTCTGGATATTTACAGAGATTTTATTCTGTAACTCCCATCCCCCCAAAACAAACAAACAAACAAAAACCCATGAGGGGACGCTATTACAAGACTGAGCTACTTCTCTGTAAACACAAGGGACATTCTACCTCCTGCTACCATCTACAGATGATGCAAACATGCTGCTCTACAGTAAATTAAACCCTCAGGTGGTCCTCTGTGACACCATGTGAAAGGAAAAAGGGGTCAGACTGGTGTACTGGCTGTTAACCTACTCTTATCAACAACTTCAGTGGAGCTGATTTAATTCCCACAGGTGCCCTCTGGGACAGAGAGTACATATCCCTTCCCTGGAATCTCCAGCTTCATGTCATGCAGGCAGTGGACCCTCAACATCTCTGAAGCCCATACAAGAAGGAGACATTTTCCCTTCATACTGTGTCTTATTTGAATCTGCCTATTCCACTCTGTCTTATGGACAGTTCATGAAACTGCAAAATTCAATTATATTGGACAAGTTCTGCAAATCAAGAACACAGATTTATAATTACTTGTGTTTTTGCAAGGAAGCTGTCAGGAAGAAAAAAAAATGTGCCTTCATTGCTACAAATATACAGCTATTCTTAACTTACAAGGCAATAAAAAAAAGGCCACTTACTTTGCAGTTTCTATGTATCTTATTGCTTTTTCTCTCTCATCCTGTTGTTTGTAGAGAAGACCCAATTCATACAGCGTGAATGGCACCAAGTAACTGTCATATTTTATTTGCTTCTCACTAGAAAACCGGAAAAATACAGCAATTATTACAACCCTGTCTCCAGTGACCAGTTAACTTTTAAAAGCAATCACTGCCAGTAACAGCACATAGCCAGAAAAAACATTCTGAAGCCTTTTTTACTGGTTAATTCTGTACACATTGATAAACAGTCTTAGAGCACTATAGCAGCCCTAAACATTTAGAATGTCTATCACAAAATGTTCCTCACAAAACCTTTCCCCTCAGCCATGCAAAACATACCACTTATGAAGAACTGCTGTCTTTAGATTTTTAAAAATATCTCAGCTATAAAAGCTTGCCCATTGCCAGCTACCTTTGGAAAAAGATGATTCAGAAATAGTGTTCCTTTAACTTGCAACCAATCAAACCCCTCTGCCTGTCGCCTGCAATGTTCTTGACTAAACTCACATGGGATCTTAGAAACAGTAAGAGAAAACAAGATGGCAAGAGAATTAAAACACACAATTCTTAATAACAAACTGTATCATTAATTTTTCAAAATCACTTGTTAGAAATATTGTACATGTAAAAATGCTTCTTCAGCCAGGTGGTATGGATCTGAGACCTGAAAATCTGTAACACAGGAAAAACCAGTCTTCAACTAAAACATGTAACAAAAACTTCTCATCTACATGGGAAAGCACTCACTACTGAAGTACTAAATACTGAATAATAAAAAAAACCCAGGAAACTTACTTACAGGTATCCTTACTTACAGGTAGCTCTGCAGATACAATTCCAAATGTATTTGGGTATGTTACCAGGCAGTTTGATTTATTTAGCTTCAAACACCGCATATAGAAAGCTATAGTAAGTGTCAAACTGTTACAGAAAAACACAAAGTTTTCTGGTTCTCTAACTATTTTCAGAGCTACTTTAGTTCCAGCTCCGTAACACAATGTTTAATTATTCCAAATTCAAGTATGACAGCTGCAACAGGAGTATCAGAAATGTCACCAAAAGCTAGAATATCTATTTCTGTTACTTTCTTACCTTTGAATTACTTTATTGAAACATAATTCAGCTTGCATGAGTCTTCCCAAGTGTTTCAGGCAGAGGCCTTTCAGTAGCTGCAACATGCACACATCATCCACATAGTATTCATTGTGATCTGAAAGTAAAAGTGAGATATGTCAAACAATTTGAAGACATCATGAAAACGGAAATTAGATTTTCAGTAGGGAATATATATCAAGATTCAGGACATTGTTTCTCATGTTCTATACCTCAAAATGTACATAACATGATTTAAAATGATTTAAAATACT